TTTAGAAATAACTAATAGACTACTATTAAATCTAAGACTATTAATTTAGAAGCTAAAAAAGTAACTTATAAAGCTTTACTATCTCTATATCCCTAGATTACTATAAATCATATAACAATCCTTAATATTCTAGTATTCCTTTATATAATATCTATAATATAATTAGACTATTTACTATATAACTAGATATACTAATATAAACTATTATATAAGATAATTTAGTATTAGCCAAAATTAAGCTATATAGTATTCTTATAAAGATAAATTATAAATATTTGTGATCCTCTATATATATAATTATATTATAGATATCTTATATACTACTACTCTATATAAACACTTAAGATTAAGATAATCTTTAATTAAGTAGGGGAGGATAAGATATTTTTACCTAATTCTCCCTATATATTTTATATATTATAATCTATTATATTCGTTTATATATTATAATATCTATATCTATATCTATTACTATCTATTATAGTTGGCTGATTATATATAATCAGGCCCTATCTGTTTGTTATATTTGTTTAACCGGTATATATATATTAGCTATCGTTTTCCCTAACTTAGCAATATATACCCGTTCGCACCCTAAGATCTCACTATCTAGATAAATAAGGGCTACTTTATTTTAGGTAATAGATATAGATCCTAAATAATAAGATATTATATATAGGGATTATATAAAAGATCTATAACTCTTATATTATAATATATCTTAGTTAAGATATTATTTATATAATATTATTATAGAGATTCTTTTAGCTAGAAGTAATAAGAGATATATAATACTTCTTATAAAATTATATAGTTTATAGCTATAGTACTATATAATATAATATAAAATATAGACTATTAAAACTATTACTAATTCTATAGTAAATATAGGTAGAATTATCTATAGATTTTATTATAGAACTACTTCTAATAATATATATAAATTTAATAAATTTAATAGTAATTATAAATTAGTTTATAAAAAATATAATTCTTATAAATATAATAAAGATAACTATTAAAAGAGTAATAGATATATTCTTTATTTATTTATATATATACTATAAGCTACTATAAGTAGTTATAAGTAACTATAGATCCTAATTTATAGATATATTCTAATAAATAATATATAAAAAGTTATTAATTTAATATTAACTATTAAATATTTTCTATCTATAATCTAATAATACTATAAAGTATATAAACTAAGAAATTAAATAGATCCTATATATATTCATAATCTATATATAGAATAATTAGGATATATTACTTCCTATTATTACTATAGTAATTAATAACTATAATACTAATATAATAAGACTATCCCTCTTCTTTTTTATATATAATTATTATATTAATCTTATTAAAATAGAAAAGATAGAGGAATCCTATAAAACCTATATATAACTAGGAATTATAAATAAAATATTTATAAATTAACTATAAGAAGCTATTAATTAGATCTAAATTATAATTACTTCTATATAAACTCTATAGAAAGAGTAATTAAATAAGTAATAATAGGTTATATTAGTCTATAAGAAAGATAACTAGATATAGCTAAATTTATAAAATATATATATATAATAATAATTAAAAAAGCTAAACTAGTTAAATATTTAATATTAAGTTTTAGATATTTCTATATCTTATATAGTATAATTAAAGATATTTATTAATATCTATTTAATATTTTATATAAAGCTAATTAGACTAATTATTTTAGACTTATTTCTATTATAGATTATAGATAATTTATATCTCTTAATAATATTAATTAATAAGAAACTTAAATATAAAATAGAAAAGATAATAAATATAAGACATAAGAAAATTAGTTAAGGATATTATAATAAAGCTTTAGTAAAATAAATAGATTAGGTAGAATAGATCTAGTAGAGTCTTAATAATATTTAAGATTACTCTATATTAGATACTTTTAAAAGATAATTTAGTCTTATTTTAATCCTATTATAGATCTAAAGATAACTAAATATAACTATAATATATATAAAAAGAACTACCTAAAGGAGGGATATTATTATAGACTAGTACCTAGTATAAGGTTATATAGTATATATAACTATAATAACCTAATATATAGAATACCTACTTAGTAATTCTCTCTTTAAGCTTTTTATATATAGTATATAGCCTAGCTTAATTAGATATATATTCTGCTTTAGCCCTTTATACTAAGAAAGAATTATAAAGAGAAGAAAAAGATATATATTTAATATTAACCTAGAGACTAGATATAGTAAAAAAAAGTAGAACCTTATTTAAAACTAAGTAAGATAGTAACTATTAATATATTAGTCTCTATTATATTAGTATATCTATTTCTAGACTAATTTTAATAAATATTTCTAAGATATTAGAAGAATATATCTTTTATAATTATTTCTTAATAGGAATTTAATAAACTTATTATAGTTTAAGAATAGTTAATAATTTATATAAAGATATAAGAATATATAATATATAAGAAGGAAGAAGTTATGAGATAATATCTTAGACTCTTTTATACTCTAAAAGCCCTTTATTAAGAATTAGATATATTTAGTTTATAGATATTAATATAACTATATATATTTATATTTAAAGAACTATCTACCTAAGGTAGATAAAGAGATACTACTATTTAGACTATATCTTACTATTATAGTAGTACTAATTCATAATACTCTAATAGTAATACTATATAATTAGATAAATTTATACTTATTTTAATTAATTATAGATAATTAAGTCTAAGTAGGGGAGGATATTAAATTTTTGTCTTCTTATACTATATTATTTCCTATGTTGTTCTACTATATTAATATCCTTATTATATCTACTACTATAATATCTATACTACTTGATCTAACCTAATCGAACCTATTTGTTTTATTTGTCTTTATACCTAGTATATATTATATAGTTGTTTCCCTTACTATAGTTAGATATACCTATATAATATACTAATTTCGTAATAAAGATCTCACTAGATAAGATATACTACTAACTAGGTTTTATTTAACCTAGTATAAAGAAGATAAAGTTTTTATTATCCTATTAGTACTATTAGTCTAAATAAAATAAAGATATAGAGTAATATTATAATAACTATATAATATATAAATATATAAAACCTTAGATAGATTAAACTCTAGGACTTCTAAATCTTTTATTTATTTTAGAGTAGCTTTAATAAAGTATCTTAGTTAATTTTTATATCTTATTAAAAGATAAGATAAAATATAATAAAGTTATAGTAGTAATAGATAGGTTTAGTAAATAGATAGTTAATATTCTATATTACTATAATATTAATACTTATAATATAGTATATCTATTCTATAATTATATTTTATATTAATTTAGTAATTTAGGAATTAATAATTAAGAACTATAGTTTATAGCTAGTTTCTAGAAGAAATTCTATTATATTCTAAGAATTAGATAGAAGCTTTCTATTATATATTATCTATAGATAGATAGTTAAATAGAAATAACTAATTACTATATAAAGTAAAGACTATAATTATATATAAACTATTATTAGAATAACTAATTAGAATTACTTTAGTTAATTAATTTTATAGTAATAAATATATTAAGTATAACTACTATATATTTATCTTTCTTTATTAAATATAGATATAAGATACTACTATTATTTAATTAGATATTATTTAAGAAGGATTCTCTAGAGAAGGAGGCTAGATAAAGGGTAATATATAATCTAAAATTAATATAGAAGAAGATATATTATATAATATTAGAGATTTAATTATATTAGAAATTATATATTAATTAATCTTACTAGTCTATTGATTTTAATATTAATAATATAGTTTTTCTATCTATAAAGTACCTATATTTAAAGAGATTATCTTAGAAGTTATTAAAGAAAGCTTTTAGATCCTTTTAAATAATTAAGAAAGTAAATAATTCTTACTATTTAGACCTATTAGTAGAGTTATAGAGTATTTATAATATATTATTTTTTAAGAAGCTATAATTAGCTTTATATATAATCTTATTAACTAGCTAGATCCTAGATCTATAATTATTAATAGAAATAGATAGTAAGAATAAATAAGAGATTATTGTCACGGGATTCCTGAATCCCTTCGGGTACGATTCAGGTACGATTCATAGCCGCTCCACGGGTGAATCTACCTCGATACACCCGCTAATGCATGACTGCCCTAAGCCCTAGCAAGCTCTAGCAATATTAAAACGCACGAACAATAGCTACGATTCTTATCCTGCAAGAATCAGTTCTGTATATCAACTGTTCTATTTGATCTCTACCATCCGATATCCTTGCCTAGTCACAGGTCTCTAGCCTGACAACTTAGTAACCATTACAATTATAAAGATAATTAATTTATATCTTTTCTATAAAAAGATCTTATAATATTATACTAAATAGGTTAGTATTAAGAATAATATATAGTATCTAACTAGTAATTATAAGAGTTCTATATATATATTCCTAGAGTTCTACTATTAATATTTATTAAAACTAGGGATATTTATATATCTATCTTATTAGATTAAGACTATAGAGTAAGATAAGTTTATTATTAATTATATAGATAATAATAGAGCTAGTTGATTTTTTCCTATATTTATTTAATATTTTTAATATTAATACAATTAAGGGACTACCTGTATTTTAGGCGGAAGTAATATAGTATAACTATATAGAGGAAGACTCGGGATAGGTATATTTACACTATTTGTACGTTTATACGGTTTGACCTACTCTCGGATGCAGACTAATCAGATGATTAGCCTAGAGAGTAGCATCTGCCTATATGTATATAGCATAGCTCTCTCTCTTCTTTCCCTTTCCTCAACGTTGTTATTCGTTGTTCTTCGTACTCTTCTCTATTCTAGTAGATCATAGGCACCTCATCACACGACGCTTAGCTGACAAGGAATTTCAAGAGTTTGAGATTGTATTAGATATTTATAGTTATTTACATTGCTCTTTGTTTCTACCTCCCCTGCTCTGTTGATTTTTTCACGGCGTTAATCTTAGAGATGAGGGACGTATTTATCAGGGCATTCCGTGCGGCTTCATCACCGGCGGCCGCTTTACTGGAACCAGATCCCGATCCAAGATGCTCCTTTTCCCAGCCCCAGCCTGTGAGGTAGACTCCGATGAAGAAGGTCTGCGTTCCGCTGCCCCTTTCCTCAACGACGTCACGCTCGGTAATATATTCCAGTTTGACGCCTTTGCCCATGACCTTCTTTGCTAATTCCTCCTTGGACCGTAACTGCGTTTTTTGTTGCCCTAACTTATCTAGCATTGGTGACCATAGTCCGACCAGCCATTGATTCGCAATCCGATAGCCGTCATGAGAGTCGCCTAGTATCACCGCAGCAACGTACGCTTCGAAAATATCCCCTTTGGTCTTGGTCAATCGTTTTGGCTGGTCCGCGTAACTCGCTGGCACTTTTGCTCTGTGATCAAACCCATATGTCTCAGCAAATTTGGCTAGCGTCTCGTTCTTCACTAGGCCTTCTCGGATCTGAGATATCCTCCCGGCTGGAATGCCAGGAAATTTGTCCCACACCAGCTTTGTCGCCATCAGCTCAATATACGCATCGCCTAGGACTTCTAGCCGATCATATGTTGCATTGTGGGATTGACCACATGCAGGATGCGTGAAAACAGATTTCTCCAGCTGGTCATTGCCGATTGGTGGTAAAAGAGGCGTTCTAGAATGCTTGTCTTGTGGTTCTCTAGAATGATCGAAACCTGAATCACCAAGAGCTTCAGAAAGGCTTCGATTGACGGTTGACTTTCCACGATAGTTGCGAAGGGCATCCCTCAAATTTGACACTGCTTGCGCAATATCGGGTTTGGTCTCCATAATTTCGGGGTCATTTACGGCCTCTTGAACAGCGTGCTCAAGATGAGAGAGCCGAGAACCGCAATCAGACCTTTGGGCCAGCCCGTTTTCTTTCAAAGAATTCTCATTTTGAAAATCTCTGGCCGATTTTTTGACCTTTCAGAAGAAGATAAGCCAAACTGCAGACAGCATCGACAGGTAGTCAGATAAGAAAAGTTAAGATAGTCACCTTGGGTCGTTTTGTAGGATGAGGGACTTCGTTCCTATCGGAAGAGGCGGATCTCTTGGAACTCATGATGAATTTCCCCCTTTCAAATCCACTGCTTCATTTCTTGAATTCTGTTCTGCTAGGAAGAAATAAAAGACCGTGACTCTTTTGAGGGTGTGGTATCAATGCTGCGAAACTTGAGCACGTCACGTGCCTCCCGCGCCGCATCCTGGAATCATCACGGCTCCGGGACAAATTAAGAATCTTGTTCCGCCGCGACCACTTCGGCCCACCGTGAAGATGTCCCAGACCCGGTTACTAGACCTGGTTAAGGTATGGAAACATGCCAATTATCTCGCCTGAAGCAGGATACACGCTAATGCTATGAATTCCCGCCCCCTTTACAGACTCAGTGTCGCATCTTTTCCCTCAACTTCAATCCGCAAAGACTCCGATTAGGGAATAAGATCCTTAGACAACGCCTCCGTGGCCCGGCACTCGCAGCATGGTACCCAAAGAAAACGGTCGCTTTCCAAGATCTCCAAAACACATACAAACCTCTCGGATTAACTACATTTGATGAGGCCGAAGATGATCGAGAGGAGGCAATTCAAATGTCCGTGACCGGTATCCTCCGTGCTGTATAAAAAATATGCTGATAATTCGTTCTATCTAGTGCCAAACTCAGAGGCAAGGGTCGCCCCAAGAAGAAGCGGACAGCTGCAGGTAAAGTAGTCCCTGATATTGGTTTTCGGCGTCGCGCAAGAACTCCTGACTGATCTTCATTGTCTTGGTCTAGAATCTCGGTCTGCAAAGAAGAAGAAATAAACATGTCTCTATGACCCACGATACATTCTCATACGCGTTCGACCAAGTTAACATCACCCCCGGTTGTGTGTTCTGACCTGCTGGAACTTCCAGGCATTGGTGAAGGTCCAACAAGCTGAGATAAGCCGCGGTCAAGATCCCGTCTTGTCTCTATAAGACGACTTTTTATCCAGAGGAAACACTGTCGTTCCCCTCCACTTGTACTATAAATATCATTACCTTTATGTTCATTGAATTCTGCCAAACCAGCCGTTGTATACGGGCTCCATTATCTTGATTACTCGGCAAAATACCACCGCTATATGAGTTGCTTACCTTCATATTTTGCATTGATTTGAGCCTATCGTATGCTAAGGACGAAGTTAAATCATACACCAATGAAATAAATACAATAAAACATGTCTCGGAGAATGTCCTCACCGGACGCATACATAAAGCACTGGGAAATTTAGTTCAGGCAGTAAAGGCGGTAAGTCAAATCAACCAATCAGAGATAATTATGGGCATTTTATTTTACCACCACTTGAGCTTCCCAACGCCGCGACGTGTTTCACTTGTTCAAAACCACGACTCTATTTCCCACCGGCCATCACGATTTGCTTCTAGGGAATCGAAGGTCGCAACCACTTCAAAATGAAGCAAAGCAAGAATCAGCTTAGGAGGGCCAAGAAAAAAGCCCAAAAGGTGCAGGTAAGCTTGCTCCCCCTACCGTCGCATTCATTGCTGCTACAGGAGTTGACATATCTCGTTCGCAGGCCGTAGGCGAAATTAGTGAAGAAAAGGCCCAGGATTCCGAAACAATAGCCCCTCCACCTCCTACCACCCAGGATGATCCGAAGTCCCCTGTCATTGACGAGTTCGCCGAGTCGAATGATCCATTATGGGAAATGTACAAGGGCGTCATTGACAGATTCGACGAGACCGCCGACGAAAGCGCTACCGCTAGAGAGGCCGACAAGCCAGAAGTCTTTTTTGATGATGCCGACGACATTCCTGATGAGGAGCAGGAGAGCGAACCGAAGATTTCAAAAAAGAAACGAAAAGAATTGAACAAGCTATCCGTGGCCGAATTAAAGGCTATGGTTCGCAAACCTGAAATTGTGGAATGGACAGACACGTCAGCGAACGATCCTCGGCTCTTAATTCATATAAAGGCCCATCGTAATGTGGTTCCGGTTCCTTCTCACTGGTCACTCAAGCGGGAATACCTCTCTTCCAAACGGGGTGTGGAGAAAGCCCCCTTTGCCCTCCCTAAGTTCATTCAGGAAACAGGAATTGCGGAGATGCGCGATGCGGCTCTGGACAAGCAAGATCAGTCAAGTTTGAAGTCAAAACAACGAGAAAGGGTTCAGCCAAAGATGGGACGGTTGGATATCGACTATCAGAAATTATACGAGGCATTTTTCCGCTTCCAAACCAAGCCGGAGCTGACTCGCTATGGTGAGATATATTACGAGGGCAAGGAATATGAAACCAACCTCAAGCATCTTCGCCCAGGCGATCTCAGTGATGAATTAAAAGAGGCTCTCAATATGCCACCCGGGGCTCCCCCTCCTTGGCTTATCAACCAACAACGCTATGGGCCACCTCCATCCTATCCTGCCTTGAAAATTCCCGGTCTCAATGCACCACCGCCTCCAGGTGCCATGTGGGGGTACCACCCAGGTGGATATGGAAAACCACCTGTGGATGAACACAACCGACCGCTCTACGGGGGCGATATTTTTGGAGTTTTACAGCCGCAGCAAAATGCTCAGCAAGGAGAGCCGATCGAAAAGGATCTCTGGGGCGAGTTGCAGGCATCTGAGGAGTCCGAGGAGGAAAGCGAGGAGGAGGAGGAAGAGGAAGACGATGAAGACGCCGATGAGGAAGAGGATGCTGGGGCTCATTCACCTAGTGGTCTAGACACGCCGAGTGGTATGGCTTCAGCTGTCCCAACTGAAATCGGAGGTCCAGAGAATGTTTCTGGGGAATTCGACGTGCGAAAGCATCATAGAGGAACAGAAACGGAAGAGTCTGTTCACCCACGAAGCGCATATCAAGTTATCCCCGAGAGACAAACGAATGTGCAAGGATTTTTCGGTGGTGACAGAGCATATGATCTCAGTACGTCGTCAGGCAACCACCCAGTCCTTGGGGTTGACGATCAATCCCGAAAACGCAAGAAGCCTGGTGATGTTGACGTCGCCGTGGATCTGGATGCGATGCAAGCCGGAGGCGGCATCAGCAAGGAAAGTATTCAGAACCTGTACGACGCTCAACGACAGCAACAGAATCAACCACAGTGGAGCAGAAACTTGACAGATGAAGTTAGCGGTATGATTGCCGACGAAAATCGCAAACGATTGCGTAAAGAGAGCGAGCGACGAGGCAAGCACTGAGCAGTCATGCTTAATAGGCTGCGATTATTGTGGTGAGAGCTTGGTTGTCATTACTATTAGTACCATTATTATTATTACCACCACCACTGCTGGCCCCTGTGTTATTAGATCAAGAGAGGCTTCTACGATCATTGTATGTACATTAAATAGTAGGTCACAACTTTTTACGCAATATTTCATACATGTCATATTTCCGTAGTACGTGTGGTGAATAGCGAGATCCCATCGTATTCGTCTTCAAGTTTGATGTGAAAAGATCTACCCGATTAGGTTTAGCGTCGCCTACCTTTCACTCTCGCTCATTCTCTATCTCCATCTTATTCGGAGAACAACAGCCTCCCCCAGATTGTTTCAACCTATAGGGATGGATTGGGATCGCAGGAGGTAAGCAAGAAATTTCAATATCGTTTCCCTTCAAAATGAATAGTTGTCTAACTTTAACTATAGATTCGATGACCGGCGAGGCGGGGAAAGTTATCGCCCTGCTGACCGACCGGGTCGATCACCATCACGAGGATACGATGCTAGAGATAATCGAAACAGGCGTTCACCACCTCGAAATCGATCTCGCCTATGCGCCGACACATGGGTGCCATCTAGCCGAGGCTATGGACGCCCAAGGAGCCGCTCTCCTCCTGACTACCGGCGTCGTTCCAGGACGCCTCCCTTCCAGGGCAGAGGCTATGGGCCTGCACCATATACGAGACGACGTTCCCCCCCTAGACGTTTCTCACCACGAAGAGACGACCGACCTAGGTCTCCTCCACCTTCATGGCGATCGAAGTCTCCGCATAGTGAGGGTCGATCACGCGATGTATCCCGTGGCCGCGGTAGCCCAGGGCGCAACCGGGATGTATCGCCTGGAAGCCAGGACATACGTTCAGTTCGAAGAGACAACGCTGCAGCGCTCCCTCTGGATGAGAAATCAAGCCAGGCTCATTCATCAAAAATTCAACCCAACCTTCCTCCCATTCGCCCCTCCAGCCCCTCTCAGAACCTACCCCGACGAGAGCCAGCGGTGGATATGAATAGGAGTCTGCCATACTCAAGATCGAGACAATTATCCCCTTCGCGTACCTCCCGACCTGAATCGAGCTCGACATCACGACGCTCCTCACCAGCAGTGGGCCCAGAGCGCGGTGGTCAAACCCCTCTCAAGAACCGGAGTCGATCACCCTCACATTTCTCACCTGCCCATCGGTTCTCTGCACCATCAGGCAACGTTACCCATCAAGATCGCGGATCCACACACGATTCTGAGAGTAACGATTCGGCTAGAATATATGGAAATACGGATCGTCAGGAATCCGATTCTACAGAGCCTATTCAACGCCGCTTTGGCGCCAATCCCCCAACCCAACCAAGAAATCTAGGTATCCGCCAGTCACCCCCCTCGGGATCGTCTCAGGGGCCCAGGAAAATTCCATCACAACCTCGTGGTCCTCAGAATTACCCTTTTCTGTCTGCGCCGACTCGTCCTCGTCGTGGCCCTAGTTCTCGAGACGGACCTTGGCCCAGTGGCACTATGTCACGTCGTGGGCCACCCACAACGCCATCGCAAACTCCCCCTTCAGGCCCTCGAGCTTCTTTCAGTTCTGGATTTCCTGGGGGGTCAAACTTCCGGCATCCAGGGTCCCGGCAAAATAGTACTGTGCCCGCATCGCCGTCTTTACCTACACCCAAAGCCCCAAATCACCTAGCAGGACTATGTACCGTGATTCCTGGTGGTAAGCTTCTACCATCAGTCCTGGATGGAGTGTCTGAAAAGCGTCTTTCTCAACTCGAAGCCGACCAGGAGAGGTTAGTGGAGCAGATGGCGGAAATTCAACGTTCCAAACGAGCAGTACTACGTGACTGGGATCGCCTGGACCATGAAAGCTCCATCTGTGCCCTGAAAAGCGAACTGGCTGAGGGTCATCTCCAGCGTATGGCTGATGAGACTATTGGAGGTGGGATTCCATTCTAATGACCACGATGTTAATGTATGGATTTGACGGATGCTCCATTCATATGAACGAACTTGTAAAATATAGGGCGTTTTTCTCTCTCTTTTGGTATAGGGGAGTTTTGGAGGCACAATATGGGGACCAAGTGGGCTTGGGATGTATCAATAGGAGGCTTTTCTCTGTCTCTCTCTTTTCTCTCCCTAATATCAGCATCAATATTGATTTATCTAAATAAAAAATTATCTCAAAATTTCGTTTTATATCATGGAATTCGCGTTCAGATCTACTTCTACAATAGACATGGTCCGGGCCCCCGGCACGCGTACCTGATCGACACTGGGCCCCTTCCATATCTCATGTGGTTTCGTGTCAACAACTTTTCTTCCCCTTCAATCCTTCCACTCCGCAACCACAACCCCCATATCGCCCACCATGAATCTCTTCAGGCTTTTAGGTATGATATGCCTTTTGTCGCTTGAGCCAAACCATACTGATCGGTACAGGCGACTTGTCCCACTTGGCATCCATCTTCATTCTTCTCCATAAGATGAAGTCAACTAGTGTATCTTTCATACCCACTCTAACCCCCTCCGATGCTCATAGCTGATTATTCTTTCGCAGAGCTGTTCCGGGTTGTCTTTCAAGTCACAGGTTCTTTATCTATTGGTCTTTGTCACTCGCTATCTAGGTGTGCCCCGATCCCGATCTCAACCTTGTTTTCGAATTCCCCGACTACAATACTGACCTCGAACTTCTCCCCTCGTCGCTAGATCTGTCATGGACTTTGTTCGACTCGCTTTATCTCACAACATTCAAGCTCCTCTTCATCGGCTCCTCAGGATACATCATCTACCTCATGCTGAACGATTACAAGCCCACCCACGACCCGAACCTTGATACCTTCAAAGTCCAATACCTTCTAGGAATCAGTGCCCTCTTGGCGGTGCTTTTCCCTCGCAAATACCAATTCTTCGAGGTACGTTCAAAGCCATTCGCTGCGCTTATTGCAGGACTCGCCGGGATGATAAAATAGGCGGGCAAGAAACAAATACGGGTTCCCAACTAAAATTACAACTAGATTCTCTGGACTTTCTCGATTTGGCTGGAATCCGTTGCAATCCTGCCGCAGCTGTTCATGCTACAACGTACAGGAGAAGCTGAAACAATTACCACTCACTACTTGTTCGCCCTCGGAATTTACAGGGCTCTCTACATCCCCAATTGGATGTACCGCTACGTGACCGATCCTCGCTTCCAGGAATTATTCCAATGGGCCCCAATCCTCGCCGGTATTGTCCAGACCCTGCTGTACTCGGATTTCTTCTACATTTATTACAATAAGTACGTCATCATGTCCATCCAACTAGTCTAACAAGAGCTAAAATCTCGAACTTCCAGGGTGTTGAAAGGGAAGAAATTCTCCCTTCCCGTCTAATACTGCTATTTATGGTCGTCCGGACAATCCAGATATATTGCAACGCATGCTCAAATATTGAAATGCCACCTGGGAGTTGACCATTTGACTGTCCTAGGAAAACAGCTGAGACCTAATATGCCTTTTAGCTGTTTTCTTTCCCTAAGAAGACGGGCAGCCGAACGGGCCATACTCTCTTTATTTGGTTTATCTTTGTGTCTTGTCTGCTCTGTTTTGTGGCGCGGCCACTGAATGTCTGATCATCGGATCCGAATCAACGAATTGATGCCTTTCTACTCAACTTTGGCCATCGCATGAGCCAATTCTATGAGCCAGTTTTATACAACTGCTATGTATTTAGCAGCGAATGACGCTTTCTCGGACAGCTACGATCTGCCCATTAGGTATCTACCACTTTACTATCCCCTTCTTGCCCATTGATGTTGGTCAAGAGCGCCGGGATCTTTCCTGTCAGAAAACTTTAAAAAACAAAACAAAACAAAAAATGTTATAATTAGATGTACTAGTGTATTGATCGTTATATTCCTCAAAATTTCTACTTTTTTCCCTGTAACTACTGTAGTTTCCTTGAGCCTGCAACTTTTTCTCTTTTCCTTTCGAGGATTTTGCCCTGGTCTCCACTGATCAAAACAAACGCCACAAGCAGAAGACAGGACCTCTTTTTTTTTTGCCAAACATCACTTTTGAAAGTAAATGCTAAGGGATAAAACGTATTCAGAGGTAAATAGAACAAGAACGCCATAGAAAATGCCTATAATCATGGCACTCTGACACTCGCGGGACTCATTCAGAATTCCCGTTGAGGAGGAGCTCCGTACGTTGGAACATAACCAGTAGAATAACCTAGTTGAGGGCCTGACGCAGAGAGATCGGTGCTGAACGGGTCTAGTGTTCCTGCGAATGAGTGGGAAAGGTTGCCCATAGACCCGTGGGAAGACCGAACGCCAGTACTCAAGCTGGATCGTCTCTGCATATTTTGATGACTATCAACCCATCCACCGTGACCATGTATTTGACCGAAATATTCTGGCTGCGATCTCTCAAGAGGCACTTGCCCCCCGAATGTTGACTCTCTTCTTGAGGTAGGAGGAGAAGGAAGCTTTGGGGATCGGGATATCACCTCAAGACGAGGTGATCCGCGTCGAGAATTGGGTGGCGTAAGACGAGATCCCCCACGGCGCACTTGACAGGTTGGGCAATTTTTCACAAATCGGGATATCAGCTCCTTGGGTACCCTAAGATTCATTTTATTAATTATGGGATCACGATTTCCTGAAAGCTGCTCTTTATCAAGTACCTACCAAGAATAGATGCGTCGAACTTGAGCAGATGTCTTGTCACGCCCGCCATGCTGGCATTGCTGATGTGCCTTGGTGAGGATTTTGAATAATTTCTCACGAATAGCTACTGGCTTGCCCTCGTGGCAAATCATTTTACGGCACTGATGTGTTGTATTAGAATTTCACGGGTGGTAGTTGTCAACAGCATATGGGAGAAATACTTACATTAGCCGTGCCAATTCCTACACTTTCGAGTTTGAACATCTTTTTAACCCAGAAACTGAATGAATTAGCATAGAGCCAAAGAATAGTTTTAGGAGGAAAAGCCTACCGGAACTGAGCAGACTCAGTTGCTGTGTCTTTCGGTTCCATCAAAACCTTCTTGATGTTTCGTGCTCTTTTTGCGTGGATCAATGCCTTGTCTTGTTTCTTTACAGACAGTTCGCTAACATAACTATTTCAACCCTTGCCATCAGTTTCCTAGCGATTAAGTATAAGGGTATGATTTTGAACACACCTTTTCATCAAATTATCGAATTCTTTGACATCAGGAAACCCATCCAATGGAGGCAACACAGGCTCCGACAGCGTCTCGTTGTGAGATTCTTGATCCTCAATATCCGTTTCACCAAGCGCTTCTCGTATATACCGAGTGGACTGCATATATCGTGTTTGCGACATGTATTGCGATGGAGAATGATGCATCCTCATTTCGTCCACGGTAGACATTGAAGGGATTGTGTGATCCGATGCGTATTGCAAATGCTGCATGCCAGAAGACAGACTTGGCTGTTGGCCATAGGAGGGAGCAAATTGAGATCCATATGGATTGAATGAATGCTGAGAGAAATGGTACGACCCAGGCCCCGTCGTGCTAAACTCATGACTGGTTGGATGGCTATAAGTTCCAGGGACAGCCATCTGGTGGTTTATGAGATAACTGTCATTCCCCTCATTGCGCCTTGAATAACCGCCCATTGTGCCAGATGCTGAAAGATCAATCTTGAATGCCCTTGGCAGTATGAGTATTTCCGAGTCAAGGAAGCTAAATGAAAGATAAAAATGAATGGCAATATCAAGAAACCAGAGCGAGAACTGTAATTATATAGAAAGCAAGGTTAAAGGACCAGGATGTAGACCATAATATCGGAGATCTTTTGAATGGGGTAGCAAATGCATTAAAAAGAACCCACAAGGCCCCATGCCAATCTTGCAGGACATGACAGATGCCCAAGAGAGTGCACGAGACCATGTCGAAACAGAGTAAGGTGGAATCTAGAGAGGTCATCCCTGGAAGGCAGACCGCAAAGATTCCACAGAAAAAAGAAACGACAAATCCAAGCAGGCCAAGCAAATCTCTGTAAGGTACGGCCGAAAAGGATATTGTCCAGGTCTGCAGGGAATAAAGAGGCTAGGATGGGAAGGGAAAGCAAGAAAATAATAATAAAATAGTAAGATAGAAAATAGATTCTGTGGCTGGTTTTGCATTTTCAGGTTTTTTTTTTGTAAAACGGGGGGGGAAAAAAGCAAAGGGCAGAAAAAAGAAGAGCAAGCGAAACGAAACGAAAAGCATAGCATAGCAAGAGAAAATGAGGGACATGGGAAATCAGAGGGCATTGAGATTCGACAGGACTAGGGTTCGTGGTCGAATTCTTTCCGACCCGCCGAGGAAATTGAGGATGAAGCAGGCTGATACGACAGCGCACGCAAGCAATGGTGATACGGATTCCTGCCTCGATGCCCGGCGCCACCATTTGCCTCATGGAGAGCCACGTTGGGCCCAGTTAAGGCCACCTATAGCAGAGGAGTGGCACCCAAGGATGGGAAGGGAGAGGGAAACGATCGGCTCTCATTCCGTACCTTGTCACTGACAGCACCGGGGGGAGGAGTAGAACCTCCCCGACTATGACGGCGGAACAAACCAACCAGGAGGAGAACAAGAGGCGAATTTAGGGCTTTGTTTCTGCAGGTTTGCTTGCCGTCAAACAAAAGTCGGGCTCGAGATTGCTCCGGCGAAAGTCCAAACATGCACGTAACCGCATACCCGTAAGGAACATGGATTGGGAGAGTTTCCACTGTACTGGGGCAAAGGTAATGCAAACGGGCATGAATGGGGCCGAAGAGTGACCTTCGCCTGCTGTCCCACCGCCTCAAAAATAATTGGAAGGGAAATTTTTGTTTTCATTTTTGGTTGTTCATTTTTGGGGTTTCTGCTTGTCTAATCGTGAGCTGTCATGGAAGCACTGGGGCGTGACCTTGACGTGGCGTCGATGCCAGGGCACTGCGGGATTGGGTCGCGTTGATGGGCAATCAAATGCATCATGCGGGATGGCAGGATTGCATGCGTTTGGCCCATCCGCGGAAGGTGAGACACCGTGTTCGATGGACTTGGCGGCGGACCCTCACAGCACGGAATCTGGGCTAGTCGTAGAACTGAAAAGGGGCTCGAAGCCAGAATACGTTATACAATCTATCACCCGGTGTCACCCTGCTGCTTCCCGATCCTGATATTCTCTGTAAGCACTGTCCTTGATTTGTGTTGAAAGTGGGGGTGGGGAGTCAGTGTCAGAGAAGCGCGCGCATACCCTGGAAAGGCCCGAGTCCGAGGGGTTTCGGATCTGCCTAGGGTGAGGCTGCAAGTGTCGATCATTGCAGCATGGATGCTCCTTGTTGACTGGATGCAAATGATGCCGATGGTCAAGTACATTGCTGATCCACTGGTGGAGCAACGTCCCGGAGATGTTTGGGGGGAAGAGAAGACCGAAAAGAAAAAAGAAAAGAGAACAAGGGCATGCAGATGCAGATGCAGAGAGAGGAAGAGAGAGAAAGTGTACGGTCAAAGGGAGAGAAATCCAATTCTCCGATATATTATAGCAGAAGCAACAAAGTATGTACTGGCAAACCAGAACTCAATAAAAAAAAACACAATAACAATTATAGTTACAAAAACAGTTTCCGAGAACCATAAATTCGTATGTTGGCCAAATTTCATCAAGGCCAATGAAAGGACAGGGTCCTCAAGTCATTAGTTCGTGTATCCATGCTCAAATTTGTCCAGAGGAACACCCGTACACGGCACGGCACGGTTGGCAAATATCATTTCCTTCTTGTTTTAACAATCATGGATCTCGGTTGGGTAAGAAACAACCTGCTTGACCATGGGGTCCGTCATTCCGTCCGTCATCAAGTCCCGGATAGCCCATCGCCAGTGAGTATTGCGATCTTCCCGATTAAAGCCAACCCATTTATTGACCTTCCGCCTCCATTTCTCCTCTTCGGCTCTCTGTCGTCGAATAAATTCGGGGCCGACGTCAAACTCTTCAGTAATAGGACCTTCATCAGAGGACTCGCCTGCACTCGGTTCCTCTCCGGTGACATGGGGCTGACTGGTATCATCCGGGGATTTGGTGGTCCATTTGGTGCCGACAGCTTTGTCCTCCAGGTCATCTAATCCCGCAAAAACATCATCTTCATCTTCAGGCACGAGTCTGCCTTGCTGTCTGGAATCACGAGGCGAGGCTCGAAGCCAGCACATGCGTTGCGGATCGAAGACCATACCACCGACGGTCTGAACATTATTCACATTGCCTACATTGCTAATCAGAGCCAGGGCGGGTTTGGGTGATTTGGGTGCTGTAGCCACGTCGAATTCCTGGCCAAAATTTTCGTTGCCTTCCCAGAGGAAAGTATTGGGATTGTATCGCATCCCTCTCACGACTGTACAAGGGTTGATTAGTATCATTAGATAGCGAGAATTGGGTAGACAGGGAAGATAAACAGGTCAACGACTCTCTTACATTTAGGCTCTTGCATCCCTGCCCCCATAGGTTTTATCAACTGGGGTTTGGATTGTGACTTGGTCGTTGATTTACTTTTTCGGCTTCGGATGGGTGCGGCATTGGGTGAAATACGAGATATGGGATTAGGCTTCCAGTTTGAGTTGAATGAGCCAAGCGAGCTAGCATCGCGATTGCGGGAATTTATAGAAGCAATGCGCTGCTCTCGTGCATTTCGGGAGGCATTTGTATCTCGGGCGAAACGTGGCGTGGAGTTGAGAGGTTTAGAGATTGAGGGTGGTGTAGTGATTTGTGTGGGTGGTTCGCTGATGGAATTAATGCGGCTCTGACTGAGCCTGGCCTGTCCTGGTCGAGGGACACCTCGCCCGGCGGGATTTTTGGTAAACTTGCTTTCCGCAGAAACCGACGTAGGCAGATCATCAAACGATTCCAACTCGGTGCCATCTCCGAAATTTCGCCGTCTGGTCGGTCGAGTAAGCGTACGTTTGGCCGTAGAACTGATGGTTTCCGATCTACTGTCATCAAGGCTTAAGCGGAAAGAGTTTGGTCGGTTTGATCGCGATGGTAAAGATGTTTGCTGGGGACTGAGAAGGCTACTAGATCCATCGGAGCTCTGGCGACGAGACGGGCGGTATATCTTGATACTACTATGGTGTGGTTGCCTTTCCGATGCAGTTGCAGAGATGAAAGTCGGTTGCACTCTTGGAGCAGATGGCCTGCTATCTGAGAATGAAGTTCGCTCGACCGGAGTCTTAGGTCGGACGGCAGACGGTCGAACATGTCCATCTGTATGGGAGGGGGTTCGCTGCAAACTCGCAGCTGTAGTAGCAGTCGCAGTGCCACGAATAGAAGGGAGTGATCTTTTTGTCCGAAGTCGGGCAGGAGTAGGAGCATTTCCCGCAGGTGCAGGATTACGAGCCGCTCGCGGCCCAAGAAGTCTCCGGCTTGGAGGTGTCGGATTTGGAGAGGCTGAGTTTGTTGCAGATGCCGGAAGACTGGATATCGAAGATTGTGAGGAGTGGCCAAGGCGAGACTGGGGTCTCTGAAACTTGGAAATCGGTGCACCGCTTTCTGAAACGGTTTCAAGATTACTCGAAAGAGTAGCTTCATGACCAGAAAGCCGAGGAATCCGGGTAAATTGACGAGGAGAGCCAGTTGTAGAGGTTGCACTGGCGCCAGGGTTGGTGAAAGTCAAAGTCGTTGCAGACCGCCGTGTTGGACTTGATGGCCACTCTGTTTTGCATTTGACATTAGGGTTAAGATTCAACTTTCTCTGCGCAAAGGCTCTCCCGTTGTCAACATCAAGGCCAGCGAAGAAATCATCGGCATCCATTGACTCCGATGCTCTGGGTAGCTCTTTACCTTTCCTTGCGTGCTCCGAGGGGCTTTCTTCTTCTCGTCTTTTAAGGGAAGCAGAAAAGTCCAGTGGTCCGTCGGGAAACACCAGGCCATCCAGGCCATCGTCACTTTCGCCAGTGATACAACTTGACACACTGGGACTGGCAATTGAGATTGAGGAGCTGGGGATTGAGCGACCATCTCTAGCAGTCCCCCCTACTCGCACGCCTATGCTCCCTTCAGACCATTCGAGGTCAAAGTCGTCGAAAGTAGGACTGGTTGATCTGGTAGTATCTTTGCGATGGGATAGTTGAAGTGGCTGATGATCCGGAGGTAATTCGAGATCCTGGTCGAAATCATCCGACTCCTGTGTCCCAAGAAGGTCACCTGCAGGGACCCTTGTAGGAGGCTTTTGTGGCGACCGTGGAGTAGGCGCTTTTAGTATGGGAACATACTGGTTGATAGGTTCATCATTCTCATCCTGAATTCGATCTAGACCCGTGAGCGCCGATTGCAAACGCGTTGAGACATCCTCATTCCAATTTGAAGAAGCTGTCGACTTCACGGGACTTGTGACTGTTGAGCTGATCTGGCGAATAGTGTCTGGGAATGTTGCATGTTGGGAGTTCCTTAGTTTCAAAATGAATTCTGGCCCTGGAAGCTCCACATCTTCCGTCCAGTCGTCCACAAAGGTTCTTTTGGATTTTCGATTTGACAAGCGCTTGATGGCGCCGCCGAGAAGAGCAGAACTCGGAATATTCGCGGGTATGGGAATTCCCGCTCGTTTGGCTGAGGCAAGGGCTTCTTCTTTAGCGAAGTCATCGCTGTCGTGCAAAGGGACCTGCCAGTCCTCGTCCCCGGCGTTCGAGTCTAGATCAGATCGAGCAGACCGACGAGATGAGATCGAGTCTCGATGCCCCGAAGGTCTGAACGAGGAGTTAGTGACCGATCCAGTGCTGGATGCAGCACCAAATTGAACGCCCTCGTTAAATTGCAGGTCGTCATCATCGTCCCAACATTCGATCTGCGGTTCGTCCTTCTCTGGCTGTGTAAGATTCATTGGCGAGTCCATGGCGGGTCGGTAGTCTTAATGCGAAAGACAACGAGGTACGAGAGTCCTTATAAACGACAATCAGGTGGTAGGCTCGGTAGGCTTGGAGCTCTGCGACGCTGACATGAGCAATTGAAGATGAGGCGTCATTCCGTGGAAATCAAACGAAATGGTATAATAAATGTCCCATCGCTCGGTCGCTCCAGCTTGTATCTTCTTTTTTGAGTAGTTTTATCGCTCGCTCGCTCGCACTATTCTCTCAGCGTGTTTGTGGCGTGTCTGGTCGGGTGTTTTCGATCTGAAGGGGCTGAAAAGGACAGGGGAGCTCTCAGGGGAGACCACAGATTCAGAAGACGACAAGCCGGTTCCCTTTACTTGAATTCAATGTTTTGAACGGATCGTAGGACTGATCATAAAAGGGGGAGGAAATCGGTGGTTTTCGGGGAGAGTGGAGGAGGCTGGATGTGAGATGGATTGGAGAGGGGAGAGGAACGTGGTTAGACGCAGATGCAGTGTGGACGCGGTGGGGAACTTTGAAGAGAGGTGATTACGAAGGATTCATAGACAACTTCGATATTTCGTATTCAATATGGATAAATGTACAGATTTACATTTAAATAATTATTCTAGTATTAATACTCTAAATAATTAATAAGTAGTTCTCCCACTCTCTTTGCTCCCAATATTCTTAGGTGACAGGTCCACCATACTATATGGGAAGGTTGACACAGATACTGTTGCCTGGGCAAATCAGACTTGGGCATCTTAGATACTTTATCTCTCCCACCTCTCCCACCTCCAACGGCTTTTTTTTTCTATTCCCTCTTTCAATGTCGAAAGTAATTCGAATTGCTCGTTCTGACGAGCAGGATGGATTTATATTGATGCATGTGCTCACCTCGGGTTCCGGGTTACTGAACTTGACTCTCACGGCCACCGAGGGCGAATGCCCATACACCGCTACAAGTAAACCAACCTGGAAGCTTTTGTTTGATCTTGACTGACGCTCTTGCAGTACAGGAACGCCGTCTGAAAGACCTCCGTGCCAAGAATTATCAGGGCTCGGACGAGGAGTGGATCCAAATCATCACCCATGTATTTGGACAAGAAACCACAGCTGCTAAGTTGGAATCATGTGCTGGCGTGGAGATATCTGCTAGTATAGCAGGTACTGGTGAAGATAATAAAGAGATTGTCCTTACGATTCGTAAAAGGGTCCAATCGATCACGGTAAGAAGCCAATCTAACCAGACGTGATGTCACAACCTTTCATACCTACCTACCTTTTCTAACCCATGGGTCCTATTCTGTTTCTCTTTGCGACATACAGCAAAAACTTGGTGCAATAACCCTTACCCAAGATGATGACCAAGCGATCGAACTTTTCGAATGGTCGGGCATTGCTGCTGCCAAGGCGGATGAATTGAAAAGTCAGGTCGTCGACTTGGCGGGTCAACACCGTGTCGCGGAAGACACAATACACAAATTGAAGAAGCAACTGGAGGAGCTGACGCAGGCCAAGGTAGAGCACGAGTCCAAACTGGTGGCCAGTTTTGCTCAGCTCTTAAACGAAAAGAAACTCAAGATACGTAACCAACAACGGCTCTTGGCATGCGCGACAGTGAACCCTGCGAAAGGTATGTAGTGTACTATACTACACCTTGTCATCCCAGATTATGAATACGCTTTCATAGATTTCGTGCTAATCCGACCTAGTTTCGGAGATACAAGCAACCTCCACTCATCCCGGTGGTACCAGGGGAGAGGAACAGTCTACGAAGCGAAATGCAGATGATATGAACGACTCAGAAGATACGACAAGTGATGGATTTGAAAAGATGGAAATCGATCCAAAGGGGACGGTCCCTCCAGATGACCAGGACACCGATCAAGCCACTGAACAAGACACCGATGACGAACATCAATCAATATCCCAAGCATCAGAGAAAAGCGAACACACAGAGAGTGATAACGAGCCCGATGAGCCAGCAGAGACAGGTCACTCAACAAGAGCCTCCGATCAAGCAGGGGGGTTAAGACGCTCTTCTCCAAAGGAAGAAGCCCCGCCGCCACGGAGAGAGTTGCCATTTTCGAAGACAAGGTCATCTGGAAAACCAGGACCTGCCCCTAGCCAAAATGAGGTTGCTGAAGAAACTGGCGGAGAGACTGATGATGATGAACTATGATCGTTAGGAGCTAAAACGATTTCGTGGCAGAAATGCTAGAACATATAACTCCAGAAACAACCAGTATCTAGAAATCCAAGCTACACCAGGGATTCAGATGCCAGCATATGTTTATATCTTGGGTGCTTCCCTTTTTACTCATTGATATTTATTTCATTAGGATAGGCAGAAGTAAATCGTAGATTTCTCGAACGAGCTCATTCTCCGAGATGGAAATGGAATTTTGTGGGTCTTAAACCATTTTATGTACAAGCCAACCCCGGCCGATTATTCCCAGGTAATACCGGAGAGTGAGCGAAAGAGGTCAACCACAGAAAACAAGATGAAACGGCGTTCAAGATGATGTGAGAAAACAGAATAGGAAAGGAAACGGGGGCACATCAAAAGGCAGTTTAATGTAGTACAAATAAAGAACGCCTGCAACCATTAGACAAAACACAAAACCAATCATTACTGACTGTAGGAGATAGAAGCGAATAGCATTGCTTAACCGTACAATGCCTGGGGAGACATTTCACCGGCAGCCATGAAGTTGGTTTCAGGGTTGCCAGTAGCCTTGGCGGCAGAGCAGCGGGCCATGGTAGGTGAGCTAAGGAGGAGAAGTCAGTATATAGAGAAAATATGAGTTGGGGCGATTTAGACAATGACTAACCTGCGGGAGATAGCATCGGTAAAAAAGAAGTCTTCGATGACCTTCTTGAAGGGAGCTCCAGTAGCAGCGGAGCCCTTGTTCTGCTCGGCCAGTTGTACCTTGCTCAAAGCAGTGACAGAGGTGGGCTCGACAACGTCATAGCGGCGCATGACCGGGCTGATCTCCTCCATGCGGTCACGAAGAGCCTCGATGTCATCGTAAGGAAGGGGAACACCAAGGAACTCGCTGGTTGCACGAATGATCTTCCAATCCTCACGAGCAGCACCAGGCAATGATGTAGCCGCGCGTGTAACTTGCACACGACCTTCGGTGTTCACGTAAGTGGCGGACTTTTCGGTATAGGCAGCGCCAGGAAGAACAACATCCGCCAGTTGGGCACCCCGATCACCGTGGTGTCCCTGGTAGACGACGAAAGCATTCTTCGGAATTTCACTCTGGGCAATCTCATCGGCACCCATGAGCCATACCATCTTGGGAGTTGTTTGAGCGACCTCGGGAGATGGAGAAGTGAAGCCCACTTCGTAGGCACCAGCGCGGGAGGCTGCGCGCTGCAAGACGTTGTATCCCTGCCATTCTGGAGTGTTGAAGTTGCTGGTATTCTTCTCAATGAAGTTGCCGACTGTTTCGAAGATGGCCTTCGAATCAGGGTGCTCAGCCGCCGCACTGCCAACGACAATCATGGGCCGCTGGGCAGAGCTGAGTTTCTTGCCGAACTCACCGGACAGTGCGGTCTTCAAAGCCGAGACATCAGCACCCAGGACATCATAGTCAAAAGTGCTTTCGAACTCCTCGCCGACAAGGCCGATTTCAAGATCTGAGCGCAGATACTGCTTGCGGATACGAGCGTTGAGAACCGAGGCTTCATGGCGGGGGTTGGTAGCGACGAGGAGAATGGCATCCGCCTCCTCAATGCCGTAGATTTTAGAGTTGAACAAGTAGTTTGAGCGAACGTCAACACCGTGGGCAACTGGGGAACTGCCACCCGGTTGGTCGAGGGCAAGGTTGTCAGAGCCAAGCTTGTTGGCCATATCCTTCATAGCGACCAGCGATTCAGTATCAACAAGGTGGCCAGCAACCGCCTTGAACTCATTGGGTTGAAGGTTAAGCTTCTCTTGAGCGTCGGTAATTTCGAGTAGAGCCTGCTCCCAAGTAGAGGGAACAAATTTACCCTCGCGGCGAATCAAGGGAGTGGTGAGACGCTGGGTCTTCAATCCGTCACAGGCGAAACGCGACTTATCGTTTATCCATTCCTCGTTGATATCGTCATTCAATCTGGGGACAATTCGCATAACCTCCAAACCACGGCTGTCGATTCGAATGTTGGAGCCCAATGCATCCAGTACATCGATGGACTCAGTGTGCTTCAGTTCCCATGGGCGAGCCCGGAAAGCGTAGGGCTTAGAAGTCAAGGCACCGACGGGGCAAAGATCGATGATGTTACCCGACAATTCCGAGTCAAGGCTTTGCTCTAGGTAAGTTCCAATCTGCATTTCGTTTCCACGGCCAGTAGTTCCCAGCTCGGGGGCACCCGCTACGTCGTTCATGAATCGGACACACCGAGTGCACTGAATGCAACGGTTCATCGAGGTCTTCACCAATGGGCCGATGTTCTTATCCTCAACGGCACGCTTGCCACTGACTTCGTGGAAACGACCGCGGTCGGCGCCATATCGCATCGATTGATCCTGGAGATCACACTCTCCTCCTTGGTCGCAAACCGGGCAGTCCAGGGGGTGGTTGGCGAGAAGGAATTCCATTACACCCTCACGCGCCTTGTGAACCAACGGCGAACTTGTTTTGACCACCATACCGGGCTGAACGGGCCAGGCACACGACGCCACTGGCTTCGGGGCTTTCTCAACTTCGACGAGACACATACGACCTAGAAAGAAGCGCAGAACAAATTAGAATATCGATTATATCGCAATTGTAATTATAGTTGGCGGCGGCGTACAGTTTCCGGCAATCAGGAGCTTTCTTTAAGGCTGGCTGTTAGCAATTGGAACGATCGGAAGTATCGGTGACCTAAAACATACTCATGATAACAATATCTAAAGTCAAGTCAGTACATAAGACAGCAAAAGAGGAGTCTTGAATGTTATTTTACCTGGGGACTGTGGCACCTGCTTTTTCGCAAGCTTGAATGAGAGCCGATCCGGCTAAGGAAAATGTAAGTATCTAAATCAGTGACAGGCATTGAAACCTTGAATTACCTTCAACCGAAACCTTCTTGCCATCTAGATACTAGCGTCAGTAAAACAGCCGGCAATATACGAGGATTGTATGTCATACCAATGGTCAGTTCCACCTCGGCCGCGCGAGGGGTTGTCGTCGCGAAGAGCCGGGCTCGGGGCACCCGGAGAGACCGGGCGGCCGCACGAAACAGCTGCGGCCGCATCATTGAGACAGAAGTCGATGAGGGGGAGGAGAGGAGTTGGGGGAGTGGAGTGATATGGGCGAGGGGGTTAGAAGAGAAGAAGGGAGCTGTTCAGACGGGCTTCGAATCTGCTTGGGGTTACCTAATGAAATTGCTGACCATCAAGCTGAGTAAGGATTGTTCCTCACAAATGGCTTTGCTCGGATTGGCTCGGTTACTGGGGCCCCGGATTAAATGTAGTTCCGCTCCCGCCCCCTAAAAGCAACTTCCTTCCTCGGAACCTTCCTTCATCAAATATAATCTCATTTCAAGGGCATGATTTATTGTAGGAGACAGGGTCTTTTTCCTTCCGTGTCTCCTCTGCAACATTGTCCCAAGACCAACGTACCGAACTGGAGCAGTCAAGGGCTTTAATACCCAATTATGATTTGTTCTTTACCGACGGTGACTACATACTGCTGCCAGTGAAGAAAAATGGAAGCATGAACACCCATCGAGCTTGATGGGTATCTAATATACACCCAGTGTAGCAGATGCATCATGGTAGCCATTCAGCTTGCCGTGGCTTGACAATTCCTCATGTTTTACGTGTATGAAGAATTGATAGGTATCTCAAATCATATCTTACAATATTCCACAAAGTTTTTTTTTTTTCTTTTCGCATTGTATTATTGCCCAATCATTCTCATTGTTCAATGATGGGTTCATAGAAACTGGTCATGAACCTCAGAGATTCTGACTTGATAGCTCAAATCGACTGGCGTAGTAGGAGGATCTTGAAAGTTCTGAAAACACTTCCGGCTCCCGATTCCTGTCTGACTCGTGCAAAGGAGAGAATTGATTAAAAAACAACAAATGCAAGGGGGAAAAACCGAATCAGCAAGCTCCAGGACGAACGAGGTAACGCAGAACAAAACAGGAGGGCACCAAAACCGGTGAGCGAAGCGATATGGAAACGGAAAATATCACGGTATTCTTCTCCCACACTTAGAAATCACCACCACCACCACCACCGTCAAAGTCGCCGCCGCCGCCACCATCATAACCACCATTATCATAATTATTATTATCGCCGTAGTCGTGATGATCCCCCATGTCTTCTACTGCATCGGCAAGCAGTAGTCCACCCAGCAAACCTCCACCAACACCCAGCGCAGCCGCACCGCCAGTTCCCAAGCCATGTTTCCGCTGTGGCTGTTGCTGGTAGTAGCCGCCTTGCTGTGGATATCCACCTCCATATCCTGAAGGTGGATAACCGTATCCTGGCATTGGTTGTTGCGGATATCGCCCATAGTTAGGGTCGTAATAACCAGAGTTTGTGGGGGCTTGTTGCGGGTACGAAGCATATTGAGGACGTTGCTGGGGCGGCGGACGTGAACTACTAGAGCTCTTCCCCATCAACTTGCTTAAGAAGCCACCTTTGCTGCGTGATTTCTGTTCCGGCATTGGGCTACCCGATGATGGGCCGGAAGCATATGACCCGGTAGACGGTTGTGAAGAACCACTGTAGTAATCTGATGCCTTACCCGGAGTTCCAGGACCTCTACTATTGCTGCTGCTACCGGCTCGTGCATCCTCTTCGGCCTGGAGCTTCGCTGCAAGTTTGGCGTCACTGTCCATCGATGGGCTGGCAGTGTCGCGCGAGGTATCTGGGTTGTAGGGGTTATTAGAGGCCAACAGCCGTTTCTTGTCATCCGCGTTGCCTATTGGGGCAGCCCCCGACGGAGCTACATTGGCGTATGATGGTGGTGCTTCGCTAGGTGCTTCGCTAGGTGGTTGGCCCGCAGGGGAAGCTGGTGGCTCGGGCTTTTCCCATTGTGATTTTCCGGTGGCAAGGTTGATAAAAAACCTGAAAGGAGAAGAAAGCAAGCGTGTTAGTTTTTTCTGTTGTTGTCTGAGAAATGAGATGGAGGTCATACCATGATTGATACCGCTCATCATACTGCGCCTTCCATCCTTCTGGGACAGAAGGTGGTGGTGGTCCGGGGGGTGGTGCATAGGAAGATGACATGACCGAGTGGGAGGGTTCGGGTAGAAACTCAGAGATGGGTGCAAAGAGATCAAAGGAAGGATCGAAGTAAAATGTATCGAGTAAAAGTAAAGTGCGCAGAAGGCAGCCGAGTTTAAAGGCAAGAAAGAACTAAACCTGGCAGTGAAGAAGTATATACAGGATGTAAGATGTATGACCTGCAGCATTCCCCACATGGGTCTGCTGCGCGGGAACGCGACGCCACATCGTGGCAGTGCGGCCTAAGAACCTTGGAACGCTATTCCAGTGTCTTCCATAGGTTTGTTGGGAGTAAATTGTGCTTCTCTGATATGTAAGATACTAATTATGAGTATAGTAATCTGTTTCAAGGGCAGAACGAAACTCCTTCTGAAGAAATGTATTATTACATATTCTGCTATTCTATGTATCGAGGCTTCCCCAGCCAAGCAACCTAAGAAATGACTTGTAATGCAACAATGAAAACCCTCCCGCTAAAACCAAAGACTTTCATGATGCTGATAGTTGATGACACTCCCCAACTATGGCTATGTAGAATGGAAGATTTCTAAAACTAACAGGGCAGCTTTAGTTCTTTCAGTCACTGTCACAGATATTCGCGTCATAAAGACCACTATCTGGCCACCAGTAATCATCCTCGGAACTGTTTTCCAACTCCTCGAGGTCGATGGAAGGGCCGGGAGACGATCTGGGGTGTGGCTCAGGTGTGGATGTTGAGGTCGAAGGCAAGATGAGACCCTGAGGAGTTGCTGTAGGTGGCGGTTCAGTCAAGTCCAGAGTCAAATCAATGACTTCTGTAATATCCGACTGTCGAAATCGCTTTATTTCCCTACGAAGGACATCTTCGTTTTTCTTCCTCTTCAGTTCCCTTTGATAACCTGGAGGCCTGTCACTCCGGCGCTGAACGCGAATTGTAGTTTTCTTTGGTGGCAAGGCAACCTTTTGATTGACAGGAGCAAGTAGAGCATTCCGTACTTGAACAAGCCGTCTTCGCATCTCGAGGTCTTGAAGAAGGCTCGGGTCAATCATCGTGCTTTGCACCTGTGGGGCATCAAGCTGTTGCATTAGGACCTCATCTTCCAAAGGCACATTGATAGTGTCCTCAAGCGGTGTCTTATCTTCGAGACCTCGTGCCCACCGAGCATAAGGGCCTTTGTAGTTGGGACCTTGTCCTGGGCCGTATTTTGGATGCCTTTCAATCTCGGCATTGGAGAGAAGTGCATTGCTAGCTTCACGGCCTGAAAGTTCCGGCGCAGCTGGCTCATGAGCATCCTCAAGTTTGAACCCGGTATTCTCAGGATCTGAAGGCCCACAGGATAATACCCGAATGGCACCGCCGTGTGCCCCAATTAGGATATGAGTTTTGTCTGCTGAAAAGGCACCGCTGGTGATTCCCTCGTCAAAGCTAGCAACGTCGGCAACCAATACATCCTCTGGGGATCGACGAATATCCCACTGTTTCACGAAGCCATCAGAGCCACCAGTATAAAACTGATCGATCGTTGCACCCCATAGAGCGACGGATACTCCATAATCAGTGAACTCCCGAGGATATTCATGAGTAAGTGGTTGAAGTGGAGTGCCATGTGATAAACGATGGACGAGCTTGTCAGGATTTCGGACATCCCATACATATGTTTGACCATCAGTGCAACTGGCTGAAATGTAGGATGAGTCCATTGGACAAAAGTCCGTTTCGTTTATATCTGCTGCTGTACAAGAGAATCGGCTAGTGACCTTGATATCGTTGGTTTTACAGTCATAAACCTGTACAACTGTTCGTGTCTTGTAAGGCAGATGCATTGCCTGGCTGTAAGTGCTCGCAGCAACAAACTTAGGTAAAGAGTGGTGCCATTTGAAGTCAAAGACATTTTGTGAGTCGGGACTCAGTTTCCGCGGCCTGACAGAAGATTCTCCAATTTCCCACATACCCAGATGACCACACTGAGGGACTTTATATTCATCATGCATTCGTTCCGCCATGCCACCAATAAGAAAATGTTTTGTTTGCGCAGTATGGCCCCATGCAAGAGCAGTTGGTACCAGATCAACGTCCTTTTGGCGAGGATCCCGAAGAATATCTAGCTTATGCGAAGTGGTCTCTTGGCCCTCCTGGACATTCCACAGACGGAATTTATTGGTTCCGGTGGCAATTAAGTTTGGCATCGACTTTGAAAGACTCATGACGACGACCTTGGAGTCATGCTTCAATGTTCGAAGACATGACGGATGCTTATGACCTCCAACATCCCAGATCTTGACTGTATTGTCATAACTTGCGGTATAAAGACGGTCACCAGCCCACTGCATACTAGTCACACTGCTATAAAGCCGTTCATCAGTGGCAACTGATAATGAGGGCCGACGAGTCCAATGGTCGGGAAGTTCATGTAAAGTTCCATCAACAAGATCACCCAGAAGTAGGTTGTATTTCCGATTGTACTCATCAGAGTGAGCTGATGCTCCTGCCGCAAACTTCGTCCCATCAGGCGACCAGGCGAGAGTCACAACATCGTTCGATGCACCTTTCCAGGACTTCCAAGGTCTGAAATCCGAAGTCACCTCGGCATGAATCTTGCGACTGGGCTCGCGGCCGTGCATTCCTCGATTCAATAAGAGCTTTTGAAGATTAGAGGTGACTCGGGGAGTTGCTTTCAGCGTGGCGGAGACTGGCGGTGAATTCAGAAGAATCGACGATGGGTCACAGGCCCTAGATAACGACTCTTGTTCAGATGTCACATTTGGGGATTCCTCACGGGCGAGGCCCGTCAGCACACGCAAATTATAAGTGACTGGCGTATTTTTCGACCGGCCAGACCGACGGGGGCCTGTAACCCCAGTTTCATATGGGGGGGATTGTGAGAGGGTTCTGGTTTCAACCTCTCGATTGGCGTTCAACACAGACATACTGCGGCGCATCCTTCCTGTTCGTTTCTTTCTGTCTGAATTTTGTGACTTAGATGCATTATTGCGAGGTCGGGTCGTTGTGACTTTTGGAGATTGTGTAGGCGTGTTTGAAGCTGCTGAAGTCCTCACAACAGGAATATCCTGAGGGCATCCCTGAATGGGTGTCTGGGCGTGCTCCCCTATGGTTTCATGGATGGTTTCCTGGGGGTGTTTCTGCTGGGATTCTTGGGGGAGTTCTTGGACGGTTTCTTGCGGAGGTTCTTGGGGCTGAATTCGTGGTGTGTATGAAGACTTATAGGCTTTCACAGAGTGAAATGTCGTATGGCCATGTGTCACCGTTCTTGGAGGGCTAGAGTGTTGTTCATGGCATAATTGAGAAGTGGTAGGACCCGCCTTAAATATTGCAAACAACCGGCCATTTTCTCTCACAGCATATTCCGCATAATCTGCACTGCTTTCGCGCAGAAAGCCAAATGACTGGCTTTTACCATTCCTGTAGGCTAAGCTGTGGATCATTTCGTAGTGAGGGATTCCCAATTGAACTTTGTGACTATTAGTCTGAGTCGTATAGAGCGACAGACAAACCAAATTCACTCACAATATCCTGGATCGAGACGGGTGTCGTTGATAATATATGGCGCGAGACAGGTGTATCGGATAGAAAGACATCACATTAAGCCATAGGTATGCGCCAGGCTGTCCCTGTCATTCAGAGATTCCAAAGAAGCAGAATTTCAGAAGAGCAGGGCCGAAGAAACATTGACCAGCTGATTGCCTAGAATATATGCGGCTGAATTCTAAGTGATTTCACATCAAGAATCGAACGACTGTAGCAGCAGAGGCAAACAGGGATGGGTATGCGGAGGTGAGAGCGTGGGCAGTGTCGATAGGGACAAAGAGGATGATGGATGGAGATGGGGTTGCGGCGGTTAAGGATTGTGACAAGAATTGGGAAAGGGAATATGATCTAATGAAATGTCAGCATATTCTTTTGCGTGTTTCTTTAATTCATACCTTAATTTAAATACCCTCAAGTCAGTATTGGCGTAGATTTCATCTTCAAAGACTGAGGTAAGTGTAATCGCGAAAACGCGTCAACGCGGAGATCGGGAAGATCTGCGAAGGCGGTGAGAGCGCGAGCACGAGCTACTTTGAGATCCACCCAGGTCACCCACACTAAACCTTATTTGGCACTGTTACTAAACCCAATGTAGCTACTTCGCTATACTGCGTACTACTACTACTTTCCCACGCCCAGCTCTTCGTGCAATCCTCTAAACACACTCAAACCTCACTCCCTTTACAAAATAATTCCATAAATCTACTATGGCAGCCATCAGCGCAGACCAAACCATGAGCGCAATAAGTCTCGCTGTGAATAATCGCAGCCGAATTTACAACAACTCTTTCGCGCTGAGTGTTCGATGGGAGCGAGACAAGACGAATGCCTCTACAGACACCGAGCATTTTCAGGCGATCCTGAGCACACTAAATCTCGACCAAGCTGAAGTTGAGATCTTGGCCGAACAGGATCAGACCCCGGGCTGGAAACTTAATGATAGAATTCGGTCCGTTTTCCAGCTCGCAGCAAGCACACCCGGCAGATCCATCGTTCTTATTCACTACGGCGGGCACGGAGAGGTCAGAGGGGAACAGCTCTTTGCTGTCGAAGGCCTATCCTGCCGAAGCATAAACCTCCAAAGATTCATCGACACTGTGGTGGCAGGAGATGTCCAGGACTTCGACATCGCAGATACAGACGCTGTCTTCGTCCTGGATTGCTGTTACTCGCATGTGGCAACGCGAGCGTTAAACCCCACGACTCGTGTTGTCGAAATTCTTTCTGCGAGCGATGATCACACTCCAGAGGCCCTTACATCACCACGCAATACCTTAACTGGAAAGTTGCGGGGCGAGATTGCTCGGCGCAAGCGAGACGGTCACCACTTTGTGATACTTTCGGACGTAATGGCGACTATTCGAAGGAATAGCTCGGTTGTCAAGCCAACACATCATGTTAAGTTAGGGGTATCTGTCTGCTTCCCTTTCACTGGCGTCACAAGGATTGACCCGAACATGATTGCCCCTTCACTACGTGCAGTCTTTTCGGTTCGCATTGCCGAAAACATGACCCAGGAACAGCTGAACAGATTTCTCACTTGGATTGAGACCCTCCCGCCTGGGTTCGCTATGGAACTCGACGGGATCTACACCACAACCTCGACTCTCCTCATATTCCAGAGCGCATATGCGCTATTCACGAATCTTGCTGGGTATCCCGGTGTCACCTTTATCTCGGATGTGACAAGCCCGAACCGCCGCAAATATCTCGGCCAAGAGCAGCGACAAGAAGCTCCTTCATCCTCTCTTAAGGAGAACGTCCCTTTCTCCAGACGCTCTAAGCCATGAGAAACATCATGAGGAATTACAACCTATCTTGGGGGAGGGACATAACATGTTAGATTTCGGAGATCGCATTCACCCAGGAAGTACTTGCTGTTTACACTACCATATCTTTATCTTCCTGTTTAGCTTCGCTGATACGATAGCCAGTCTTGGCATATTTTTTTTTTCCGTTGGAAATAGCTCTTCTGCAAGCCTTTCCAATTTAATAACTAGCTTTAATTCAATCGATATCCCGCCCAGGCCGACTCTGGATTACAGCTCTAGTCGATGCTTCGTGTTCTCAGATTGTGACAAGACCCGCGTCAAGGTATGTATTCGCTTACGAGAAGACCAATAGTGGAAACGTATCGCCGCCATTCCTGGTAAAGCAACAGATAAAGCGGAAAATTGGGCCGAAAAACTTATAACCCATCTCTCCATAGCAGGTTGGGGAATTCCTCGTGTCATTATCTCCGACCGTGACCGCAAATGTATCGCTAAAATTTGGTAACGTCTATTCGAGAAACTGACAACGAAACTATTAGTGACAAGTCATAGCACCTATAAGCTAATATATAAAGCGAGCGAACTAATCAAACAGTGGAGATCGAACAGTAGATATAAGGACTAGGAGGATTCCCTACCAGCCCTAGCTCGTATCTATAATAATACTACAAGCTCTCTCACTAGCAAATCCCCCGACAGACTGCTATATATTTTTTTTCTCTTTGCGTTAATTCCGCAAGCTCTAAGTAATCTACCCAAAGAAAGGATTATAGCTAGGCTCGAGGCTGCCGACGTTATTATCTATACTAATACTATTATAAAGGAAAGATACGATAGGTTATATAAGCCTTATATGCGGCATGGCATGACCAATCTAAGTGTTGGCTCAAGTTAGTACGCATTAATTACCAGTCTCTTAAAAAAAAATTTTAGTCTCTTTATTTCCAATATTAAAACGATAAGGATCGCTGAGTCTACTATATTCGTATTATATCGGTTACGAAAGACACATTGACATTAGTCAATTGTTTAGACTATTGATCCTCGGAGTGTGACCGAAATATTCTCTACTGGAACATTACAGCTTTCAAAATCAGTGGGGTCATGTCCATCACCAGGTATGTTCAGTTACAGTTATTTCTCATCCTCTTGACAGCACATACGACCACAGGGTGTGGAGAACAGGGCTTCCCGTCCGCTCAGCCGTACTTAAGCCACACGCCGGTCAGTTAGTAGTATGGTGGGTGACCACATGCGAATCCTGACTGTTGTATGTTTTTGTTTTGTATCTTTTTTTTTGGGGGGGGGGGGTTCTTGTATCTAATCTTCAGTCCCTTCACCTGAACGCCTGAACACCACTATTTTACACCATCAAAGTTTATTATTTGCGACACTCGGTGAAAATTTTATTTAACGTTCATTTGTTTTTCTCTTTATTTTCTGGCTTGCTACCAATAGGATAGAGCAGCGTAGCATTGTGCATAAAATCGGAACAAAAGAAATGGAGACAAAAGGGAATCATAACAATGACGCTAAAACATGAGAATGCAAACTCGACTCCAAAAATGCGGCTCAGTGTTGTACATGGTAAATATGTACCTTTGTTGGACTCCAGTAATGCAATAAAGGCAATGGGAAATGATGATAGGGATAAGAAAAATAAGTGAAAAGTGGCCGCAAGAACATGGCTGGGGAGGGCGGTTGCAACTTTCCCCAAAGGGGGGAATTAGGTAGTAGAATGTGCCGGTTATCGGTATAGAGTTTCCCGCGAAGCCTTCATTTTTCAATTAATCATACATACAGGAATTGGCATACCAAGGGCCCCGGGCTCCTCAGCTCAGGAAGTTGCGAATTATGTAGCACCATAGTAATATGTAGCTAGTCTCAGGTCAAGGATTAGTAGTCTGTCAACATCCAAATGTTTGACGACTTGAAGGGTCTCCGTCTTCAACGGATAATCGTAAACAAGTAGAATAGGCCACTGTCCAGGTGAGTCTCGGGATCTACTATCTACCTAGGTGTAAGTGGACACCGGGCCGTGGATCCGTTCATAGGCCACAAGAAGCATCATAGAAACGGTGAAGAGATGTGTTATTCTGGATCTAAACTTAGAAGCTCCAACGAATGAATAGATCTAGGAGCTAGCCATGCACCGAACAAGCAAAGAAATGGCGCCAATTAAGCGCTGCAAATAAGCAAAAATGACGCCAACCTTGGAAACAGTGACGGAAGACTGCGGCGACAAGCAGCATGTCAGACAATGTCAAGTAGATTGAAGGAAGATAGTGGTAATTTGCAAGCCTACCAAGACCGAGGTGGCAGCGCCAAGCAGTGGCGGTAGGCAGGAAAAGGGGCGCAATCTATCTCTCATCACTCGTGGAGCTCACGTACTAGGTACATGTCGCGGTACCTAGTACAGGTAAGGTTAACGGGTAAAAGCACTGGAACCTCAAGGGTAGTACCTAAGGTAGCATCCGTGGATATATGTAAGCTTCAATCCATGGATATTTCAACCTTGAATTATCCCAAATGGAATATCTAGAGGCAACCATATATACCTAGCCCCAAGGTATGCCCCCGTATAATCAACTTTATCTGTAAATCCTGGCCATGGATCTCCCAGTAAGGAGAATCGTCTCCTAAATTGAATTTCATAGGCGAGGATTTCATTGGGGCACGGTTTTATAGAGGACGGTATGGCGTAGGAGATCTCGCACTTCGAACATTGAAACGATTTTGGAGCTAGACAGCCATGAACCTCTATCGACCTTAGAGCTCCATGGTGCGGACAAAGCATGCCTTTTCTTTCCCCTTTGTATGGTAAATTCTTGTCGATGAAAACCAAATAGGTAAAGTCAAAGATGATGCATGTTTTTCTGTGAGTAAGAGAAGCCGATATTGTAAGTTGATAGGAGAGTCTTTTGCATGGACTTTCAAACTTACATTCATGCCAATTTGGAATATGCTTTAGCAAAACGTCACTATCAAGATTTGCCTTATTTAGCTCAATAGCAATTGGCGTGAATCTCTTTGGCGAAAATTTGAGACAAGGACATAGTACAACATAGCCTGGCCACATACAGACAAGAGCATATCTTCCTGTATTATGATAGCTATTGATCTCA